TCTCCTCAGGCATAGCCATCCCTTTAGTTAAAAGGAGACTATGTTGTAAAATGAGAGACTTATCTATTTTTAAATTCAAGGGAGGAAAAAACTTGTCTTTTTAGAATTTATTGTCCAAAATTTATAGTGAAGCAAGGTCAACTGCATTTAAGTTGATCATATTCTGAAAAACAAACAACAGAAACAGTAAAACTTATCTCATTGGACTTAAAAAAAGAAAAAATCAAATGCATACATAATTTTGCTGGATTATACATTGCTGCCCATTATGAACCTTTAATATTAAGAGATTAATAAAAGATACAAATGTGTCTGTAGTAAGCAAAAGTGAGGTAACTCAGCTAAAGTAATCTTGTTATTAATCATTATGACCAATAATATTACTTGAAGAATATGGATGTCAATATAAAGGGACCTTTTATACATATTCATTAGTGCTATAAAAGCTCTGGTAGGAATAATGGCCAGTAGATACTAATGATTAATACCGATCAATGGACAGAAAAGGAACAATTATACATAAGTGTAAATGTTAGTGACAAGCTTTCATACCAGATAGCCAACCTTTCACTTATCAGCTCAATACATAATCCACTGGACTACCAGTGGCAAAAATATAGAGAGATAAATTTTACATATTTTAAAAGGCTAACTAATATCTTATTTGGAGTCTTGGTTTGGCATTATAGGATATGTACTAGGCTGCTAACTGTAAGTTTTGGTAGTTCAAACACACCAGTTGCTCCCTTGAAACACTATACAGTGTTGCTTAGAGTTGGAACTAGCTGGATGGCTCTTAATAAGAAGTGTCTTAGTTATATATGTTGTGGTTGTTACGTTCCTTAGAGTAAGTTCCAACTCAAAGCGACCCTGTATATGGTTTCAAAGACTGGAAACCTTTGCAAGAGCAGAAAGCCTAATTTTTCTCCCAGTGAGTAACTGGTGGACTTAAACTACCACCTTGAGATTTGCAGTCCAGTGCTTTCCTACAGAGTCACTATGATCACCCTTAATTATATGTTGTTGTTGTTAGGTGCCATTGAATCAATACTGACTCATAGCAACCTTATGCACAGCAGAATGAATCCTGGGCCAACCTCACTATTGTTGCTACACTGGAATCCATCAATGCAACCAAGAACCCGATTCTTGGCCAACCTCACTATTGTTGCCACACTGGAGTCCATTTATGCTTCCACCTGACCAATACATCTCATTGGGGGTCTTCTTCTTTTTCTCTGACCCTCCACCTTACCATGCATGATATCCCTCTCAAGTTACTGGTCCCTTCTGACAATATGTCCAAAGTAAGAGAGACAACGTTTGGCTATCTTGGCCTCCAAGAAGCACTATGGTTGCACTTCTATCAAAACGGATCTATTGGTTCTTTTGACATCCCATGGCACTTTCAATATTCTCTTCCAACACCATAACTCAAAAGCATCAATTCTTCTATAGTCTTCCTTATTCACTGTCCAGCTTTTGCATGCATATGAGGTTATTCAAAATACCATGGCTTAGGTCAGGTGCACCTTAGTCCTCAAACTGATATCTTTGGTCTTCAACACTTTAAAAAGGTCTTGTGCAGCAAATTTGCCTAATGTAATACGTCGTTTCATTTCTGACTGCTGCTTCTGTGAGTGTTAATAGTTGATCCAAGAAGAATGAAGTCCTTGACAACTTCAATCTTTTCTTGTTGATAAGAATATTGTTTATTGGTCCAGTGGTGAAGATTTTTGTTTTCTTTACATTGAGATATAATCCATACTGAAAGCTGTGCTTTTTGATCTTCATCAGTAAATGTTGTAAGTCCTCTTCACTTTCAGCAAGCAAGGTTGTATCATCTGCATATCTTAGGCTGTTAATAAGACTTCCTCCAATCATGGTGCCATGTTTTTATTCATGTATTTATTCAGCTTCTTGGATTATTTGCTCAGTACACAGTTTTAATAAGTATGGTTAAAGAATACAACCTTGTCACTCACCTTTCTTGGTTTTAAACCATTCAGTGTTTCCATGTTCTGTTCGAACAACTGCCTCTTAGTCCAGGTACAGATTCCTCATGAGCACAATTACGTGTTCTGGAATACTCATACTTCACAATGTTGTCCATAGATTGTCATGATCCACACAATCGAAAGCCTTTGTGTAGCAATAAAGCAAAGGTAAACATCTTTCTGATATTCTCTGCTTTCATCCAAGATCCATCGGACATCAGCAATGATATCCCTAGTTCCGCGGCCTCTTCTAAATCCGGCTTGAAATTCTGGAACTTCTCTGTCAATGTATGCTTGCATTCGTTTCTATATTACCTTTAATAAAACTTTAGTCGCATAAGATATCAAAGAGATTGTCCAATGATTTCCACCTTCCGTTATGTCACTTCTCTTTGGAATGGGCATAAATATGGATCTCTTCCAAAGAGTTGGCCAGATAGTTGTCTTCTAAATTCTTGGCAGAGATGAGTGAGTGCCTCCTGTGCCACCTCACCTTCTTGAAAGATTTCAATTTTGATTCCATCAATTCCTGGTGCCTTGTTCTTTGCCAATTCCTTCAATGCATCTTGGACTTCTTCTTTCAGTATCATTGGCTCTTGATCATATGCTACCTCTTGAAACAGTTGAACATTAACCATTTCCTTTTGGTACAGTGACTCTGTGTATTCCTTCCATCTTCTCTTGATGTTTTCCATATCATTCAATAATTTGCCCAGAAAATCTTTCAATAATGTAAGTTGAGGCTTGACCTTTTCTTCAGTTCCTCCAGCTTGAGAAATGTTTAGTGTGTTCCTTTTTTTGTTTTTTTTCTGATTCCAGATCTTTGCACATTTTGTTGTAATATTTGGCTTTAACTTCTTGAAGTGATCTTTTAAATTTTCTGTTCAGCTCTTGTGCTTCCTCATTTCTTCCATTTGCTTTAGCATCTCTACACTGGAGAGCAAGCTTCAGTGTCTCTTCTGACATCCATTCTGAACTTTTCCTTCTTTCTTGTCTTCTTAATGACTTTTTGCTTTCTTCATGTATGATGTTCTTGATGTCATCCCACAATTCTTCTGGTCTTTGGTCTTTAATGTATCAAATCTGGTCTTCATATGATCTTTAAATTCAGGTGGGATATATTTAAGGTCATATCTTAGCTCTCATGGACTTGTTTTCATTTTCTTCATCTTCAGTTTGAATTTGCATATGAGTAATTTACAGTCTGTTCCACAGTCTACCCCTGGCCTTGTTTTGATTAATGATATAGAGCTTTTCCGTTGTCTCTTTCCACAGATGTTGTCAATTTGATTTCTTTGTATTCCATTGGTGAGGTCCATATGTATAGTCATCTCTTATGCTGTCTAAAGAAAGTATTTGAAATGAACAAATCATTGGTTTTGCAGAATTCTATCATGCATTCTCCAGCATGATTTCTATCAACAAGGCCATATTTTCCAACTACTTATCCTTCTTTTTTGCTCCCAATCTTTGCATTCCAATCACCAGTAATGATCAATACATCTTGATTGCATGGTTGATCAACTTCAGATTGAAGATATTGGTAGAATTCTTCGATTTCATCCTTACTGACTTTAGTGGTTGGTGCGTAAATTTGAATAATTGTGGTGTTAATTGGGCTTCCCTATAGGTGCATGGATATTATCCTAACACAGACAGCATTGTACCTCATGCATAATCTGGATATGTTCTTTTTGACAATGAATAAAACAGCTTTCCTCTTCAATTTGTCATATCTGGAATAGTAAACCATGTGGTTGTCAGATTCAAAATGGCCAATGCCAGTCCATTTCAGCTCTTTAATGCCTAAGATATTGATGTTTATGCGTTCCATTTCATTTTTGACAACTTCCAATTTTCCCAGATTCATACTTTGTACATTCCACATTCTAATTTTCAGTGGATATTTACAGCTGATTCTCTTTATTTTGAGTTGTGCCCCATCAGCATAAGACGGTCCCATGGGCTTTTCTCCCATGGGGTTTACTCCATTCACATCATCACGGTCAACTCTATTCTGATGAGGCAGCCCTTTCCCGGTCACATTTTGAGTGTCATTCAACCCGAGGGGTCATTTTCTGGTACTAAATCTGACAGTGTTTCTCTGATATTCATAAGAATTTCAGTGACTTAATATTTGGAAGTAGTTTGTCACTCCTTCTTCCTAGTCTGTCTTCATCTGGAAGCTCATCTGAAACCTGTTCACCATGGATGACCCCACTGGTATTTAGAATACCGATGGCATAGTTTGAATCAAACTGACTTTGTGGCACAGTACATAATTCTGCATGCCACACCAGGACTAAAAGACAAAGGCATAACACTAACTAAAAGTAATAAAGTGATTGCTGAAAAATCAATATATATTTGTTTAATATTTACATGCTGTAAAAGATGTCAATATAAAATATTTAAGTATTTATTTTATATTCAATTTAAGCATATTAGAATGTAACTTTGTGGAAACTTGGACCAGTGGACTATGTTACAGAGCCACTCCACTTTATTACCATATCAGATAGCTTTGATCCCATTCTGAATCATGCATTCCCATGAATACAGGAACTTCCCTCCTGTAAGTCTTCCACACACACGCACACACATTCTTTCAGAATCATCTATTTTGCTGGAGACAATCTAATTATAACATGCCAGAAATATAAAAAATGCTAGCATTCATAATGCAGTACATGTAACATCCTAAATCATGGAGACATAATATATTTTCAGTAAGCAATAATGCTAAATTCTCAGTTTCCTTATGTTTAATCATAATCTTCTTTTTTTCTAATACCTTCTTTTTATTACCTTCTCTTATAATTTGAGTCAAGTTTCTGATCTAATATCACTGCCACAAAGCAACCATTCTTGACCATTTTGTCTAAAACAGGACTCTTTTATTATCGAATTCTTCATAAATACTTTATGCATTCTCTGTAGTAATTTGCACTTGCTGAAATACATATAGCTATTTAGGTATTTTCTGTCCATCACAATAGAATGTCAACTCCCATGAGCAAAGAAATTTGCTGCAGTTACTAGTATACTTGCATTGCTTAGAAGAGTATCTACTAGAAAGTAGGCACTAACCAAAATCGTATCTGAACTCTAGAAAAACACACACACACAAATATATAAAGGAAATTGTGAAATTCAGTAGGGGGTAATGTAGGAAGCTCAATAGACAACAACCAAAGTAATGATGTTTTGTTCTGCTTTCTTGGCTTAGGTAGGTGAAGGGAAGCTGTGACAATTCAGGGTCCCCAAAATTCAGAGTGTGTGAGATTGTAAGAATAACAGTTTATCAGTAAAGCACTTTTTTTTGTTGTTATTCTTTTGGCAGTCCATGGTACTTTCAATTTTCTCCTCCAACGCCATAACTCTAATGCATCCATTCTTCCATGGCCTTCCTTATTGACTGTCCAACTTTCAAATATGCATGAGGTTATTTAAAATGCCATGGCTTAGATCAGGTGCACCTTAGTCTTCAAACTGACATCTTTGCACTTCAACATTTTGAAGATATCTTGTACAGCAGATTTGCCTAATGCAGTAAATCATTTGATTTCTTGACTGCTGCTTTCCAGGAGTATTTATGGTTTATCCTAGCAAAATGAAATCTTTGACAACTTCAATCTTTTCTCCATTTATATGGACATTGTTTATTGGTCCAGGGTGAGGAATTTTGTTTTCTTTACATTGAGATATAACCCATATTGAAGGCTGTGGTATTTGATCTTCCACAGTATTTTAAGTCCTCTTCCCTTTCAGTAAGCCAGATTGTGCTATCTGCATATCACAAGTTATTAATGAGTTTTCCTCCAATCCTGATGCTATGTTTTTCTTCATATACTCCAGAGTCTCAGATTATTTGCTCAGCATACAGATTGAATAAATATGGTAAAAGAATACAACCCTGGCACACAATTTTCCTAATTTTAAACCATTCGGTATTCTCTTGTTTGGTTTGAGCAACTGCTTCTTGGTCTATGTACAGGTTCCTCATGAGCACAAAAAGTGTTCTGGAATACTCATTCCTTTCAATGTTTTCCATAGCTTGTCATGATCCATGCAATTGAAAAGCCTTTTAATAGTCAATAAAGCACAGGGAAGCATCTTTCTAGTATTCTCTGCTCTTAGGCAAGAACCACCTGATATCTGCAGTGATATCCTTCATTCCATGTCCTTTTCTGAATCCATCTTGAACCTTGGGAAATTCTCTGTCAATGTGTGGTTGCAGTTGCTTTAGTATTATCTTAGTAAAATTTTACTCACATGGCATACCAATGATATTGTCAGATGATTTCCACATTCCAATGGGTCACCTAGCTTTGGAATGGGCACAAATATGGGTCTCTTCCTATCAGTTGGCCAGTTCCAAATTTATTGGCATAGATGAGTGAGTGCCTCCAGTACTGCATCAATTTGTTGAAAGATTTCAATTTGTAGTCCATCTTTTCCTGGTGCCTTATTCTTTGCCAGTGCATTGAATGCACCTAGAACTTCTTCCTTCAGAATCATTTGCTTGTCATCATATGCTACCTCTTAAAATGGTTGAACACTGACCATTTCTTTTTGGCACAGTTTCTCTGTGTATTCTTTCCATCTTCTTTTGATGTGTTTTGCATTATTCAATATTTTGTCCATGTTGTTGTTGCTATATACCATTGAGTCAGTTCTGACCCATAGGGACCCTTTATAGGGTTTCCAAGGAATGACTGGTGAGGTTGAACTGCCGATCTTGCAGTTCAAACTGGCCCTGCTGTCCAGTGGATTAACCCACAGCACCACACCAAGACTCTTTTTGTCCATAGAATCCTTCAATATCTTAAATCTAAGGTTGAATTTTTTCTTCAGTTACCTCAGTTTGAGACATGTTGAGTGTGTTCTTTGCTTTTGGCTTTCTAACTACTGGTCCATAGTATTTTCAATATTTTTCACAAGTATCATAAGTCAAATAAATTGATTCATCTAAAAATCTTCCTTATTCATCATCCTTCATTCACATTCATATGAGGCTATTTGAAATAACTTGGTTGGGCCAGGCACATCTAAGTCCTCAAACTGAAAGCTTTGCTTTCGTAATTTTAAAGATATCTTTTGTAGCAGATTTTCATAATGTCACTTGAAGTCTTGACTGCTGCTCCCATGAGAATTAATTGTGAATTCAAGCAAAATGAAGTCTTTGACAACGTCAATCTTCTCTCCATTTATCATAATGGTATTTATTGTTTCAGGTGTGAGGATTTTTGTTTCTTTTACATTAAGGTGAAATCCATATAAAATGTTTTAGTGTTAAATCTTCATAAGTATGTATTTCAAGTCTTCTTTGCGTTCAGCAAGCAAGGTTATATCATCTACATATCACAGGTTGTTAATGAACCTTTCTTCAGTCCTGATGCTATGTTCTTCTTCATATAATCCAGTTTCACAGATTGTTTGCTCAGCATAAAAATTGAATACATATGGTAATAGAATACAATCCTGACACACACATTTTTAAGACATTTATAAGCCCTTTGCTCAGTCCTAATAGCTGCCTCTTTGTGATGGACAGCTCCTCATGAGCACAAGTGTTATGAAATACCTGTTCTTTGCAATGCTACTTACAGTTTGTTATGATCCACACAATCAAATTACTTTGCATAGTCAATAAAGAACAATTAAATATATTTCTGGTATTCTCTGCTTTCAGGAAATATTCATCTGACATCCATAATGATAGCCTTTATTTCGTGTCTCCTTCTGAATCCAGCTTATGCTACTCCTTGTCAACAGTTGTTGTGGTTTTTTTAAAAATTTATCTTCAGTATAATTTTGCTTATTTGTGATATGTATAAAATTGCTTTATGATTTTGCATTCCATTGGGTCACTTTTTTGGTATGTGCACAAATATGGATCTCTTCCACTCTTTCACATTTATTGACATATATGAATGAGCACCTACAGTGCTGCACCTGTATGTTGAAACACTTCCATTTTTATCCCATCAATTCCTGGAGCCTTGTTTTTTTTTTTTTTTTAATGCCTTCAGTGCCTTTTGGAATTCTTCCATCAGTAATATCAGTTCTTAATGATTCCTCTTGGAATGAATGAATGAACATCGACCAGTTGTTATTGATACAGTGACTCTGTTTTCCTTCCATATTCTTTTGATGCTTTCAGCATGATTCAATATTTTGCCCATAGAAACCTTCAGGATTAAAAGTCATCAAGTCTTGATTTTTTTCTCCAGTTCTTTCAGCTTGAGAAATGCTGAGCATGTTTTTCCATTTTTTCCCCCAACTCTAGGTCTCTGCACATTCCACTATAGTTCTTTATTTTGTCATCTGGAGCTGTCCTTTGAAATTTTCTATTCAGTCCCTTTTTTTTTGTCTACCCTCAAGAGTAAAGTGACTCTTCTGACACACTTTGATCTTCTTCTTCTCCTGTGTTTTTAATGACCTTTTGCTTTCTCCAAGTATGATGTTCTTGATATCATCCCACAGCTCTTCTGCTCTTCAGCCATTAATGTCCAGTGCATCAATTCTGGTTTTGGGTTGTCTCTAAATTCAGGTGGTACATATTGCAGGTGCTTTTTTTTTTTAAGTTTTTATTGTGAACTGAGTCACAGTTTACATGGGAGAACATCAGCTTTACACCATCATTTAATTGCAACGACTACAATTTCTTCCGTGCATCATTATTCAACAGTATTTACTTCCATACCCTGTTTGATTTTTTGTTGTTGCTTGTTTCTTCTTTTTTTTTGGGGGGGGGGGGAGGTGTACACAAAAACACTCAAGAGTATATAATAATTTAAACAACAAAAGGGCACATTCTGCAGGTCTGCCTACTGGCTGCCAGCACCCAGTTCCTTTCTTTCCATGAGTCCAGAGTCCTCAGCTGCTCCCTTTCTCCATGTCCTCATCTCTGCCTCCATCTCTGGTGTCACTGCTTCTCTGGATAGGGTCCCACATTCCACTTGTGCTCTTATCCCTTAGTGGTCCTAGGATTTTCTGTTTCTGGACTGTTACATTAACTACTCCCCTGTTTCTGTTACAAAACTTCCACCTTTACAGTTGTGACAGTCACAGTAAATCATGATAACAATTACTCACTATTGAATCATAAGAATTTTATCACCATATCTTTTCACCAGGCCCATCTAGACAAGATGAAAACTATTCAGTGGGGTCTCTACATTCCTCCGCACATTCTTAAGCTAAACTCCCTCTTGAAAACTTGTAAGCCAGTCACTTCATGCCTTTATTGCCCCCTCATTTTAGGTAGCCAATGTCTAAGTTGCCTGTCCCTATCTACCCTGTATATAGAGGGGATAGGATTGATACTTGATGTGAAGACTCCTTCCCTCTCAGTTGGTATTTTGAGCTAATACATCCATAAATATAGGTCACGTTCATCAAATTGTAGTGATTTACATTTGTTTCCTTTATCAAAAAAATTGTTTTTTTATCTTCCTTTAATTGAGTTCTGATTATCAAGCTATTGAATGAAGCTACGTAAAATGGGTAAAATCTGCAAGTTTGAGCATTCTTGTGCATCAACCCTCACTTCATATCAGCTGGATGCTTCACTGACAGCTTTATCCCTCTGTGGCTATGTCCTTGTCCTTGGGCTCAAGAGTCCCAGGTCTCACCATGCTTCGGGCCAACCAGCCCTTCCTCTTCTTTCTCTCATCTCCAGACCAATGGGAGTCTATGGACTATGGTTGAACTCAGCTCATTTCTTCAATGCTGCCTTATCACTTCTTCTACTCACTAGTAGACCATTGTGGTCTCCAACAAGCTTACATGCCTGCTCATGTGTTCCCTTTCAGTTTCAGTCTTGGAGAGTGGTTTGTCCTGAAGGGACTTGACTCCTTGCATTGATGGCTTCCTGGTGAACAACTTGCTTGTTCTTGTAGCAGCCAATCATACTGCCATTTTTGTTTTGGATTTTTCCTGATGATCTTTCTTAGAAGATGTATCTTATTTTGCTCTGGCTGTTCCAGGCTGGTCTGCTTGTCCCTTCTAGTGGGAATGAGCCCTCCAGGTGGTATTTTGACACCCATGGATTGTTTTAATTTTCTCCAGCTTCAGCCTGAACTTCTATATGAGCAATGGGT